GTCTCAGTGCTTTTATGAAGAGAGCGCATCTGCGCACCTTGCGGATAGCGCATCAAGAACCGGGTTGACCGGGTACTCTGTACCACCGGTACTTAAAAAATCCTGGTACCGTAACGTTTTCATTTTTTTAGTACCGACTTGGTACCGAAGTACCGGGTCTTTTGACAACACTATTGTCAATAATGCAAGAGGACAATAACGGAGTCATTTTCATCTAAAGTCAGTTCATCGATGATTCAGTGATGTCATCATCCAGTTCAGCTCTCTTCCAAAAGTGTCTGTGCAATCAGTCAAGCGTCCCCAACTAAGCAAGCCAAAGGTGACAGTGGCAAGGAACCAAAACTCCATCGATGACAGAAATGGAGAAAAAACCTTGGGAGAAACCAGTCTCAGTGTAGGGCCAATTTTCCTCTGGAAAGACAAAACCAGCATGGCGTGGTTCAATTCCAGGCTGCAACATAGGTCAGATTGTGCAGAGGACTTGTCTGGTTCCCGTGGTCTTTTGCCGATGGTTGTCAAGGTGATGAGGTCTTCACAGGGGATCTGTCTCTGGGGCGCATCTAGTTAACATAGTCTCCACTGACATTCAGGGCTGTAGAAGTCGTCTCTAGGTGCTGATCCACTATCTGGTCTGGATATAGACTGGATCTGGGTGGCTACGGTGACCATCTGATCTGGATACAAACTGGATCCATATGGCTACGGTGACCTCGGAATAAGAATGAAAGACTAATATTAGCGTAAATGCCATTCTTCTTACGATGTAACGAGTACATTGAGTGTTATGAGAAGTGTTCCCGGTTCCGGTTGACTTAATTAATGCAGCCTAACAATCCTTAAATGGATTTGAATTATAGAAATGCGACAGTGTATTATGTGTATACCAGGTTAAAGAGATGGGTCTTTAATCTAGATTTAAACTGACAGATTTTGTCTGCCTCCTGAACAACACTAGGTAGATTGTTCCAGAGTTTGGGTGCTAAATAGGAAAAGGATCTGCCGTCCGCAGTTTTTGAGATTTTGATATTCTAGGTATTTTCAAATTGCCAGAGTTTTGAGATTGCGGCGGACGTGAAGGACAATAATGCGATATGATCTCACTCAAGTATTGAGGAGCTAAACCATACAGGGCTTTATAAGTAATTAGCAAGATTTTAAAATGTATTTGATGTTCAATAGGGAGCCAGTGCAGAGTTGACAGAACCAGGCTAATATGGTCTTACTTCCTGGTTCTAGTAAGAACTGTAGCTGCTGCATTTTGGACCAGCTGGAGTTTATTAAGCACGCAGAGCAACCACCCAATAAAGCATTACAGTAATCTAAACTTGAGCTCATAAACGCATGAATTAACGTTTCTGCATTTGACATTGAGAGCATAGGTCGTAATTTTTATATATTTTTAAAATGGAAAAATGCAGTTTTACAAATGCAAGAATTATGGCTTTCAAAGGAAAGAATGATATCAAATAGCACACCTAGGTTCCTAACTGATGACGAAGAATTAACAGAGCAGCCATCAATTGTTAGACAGTGTTTTAGGTTATTACATGCAGAGGTTTTTGGTCCAATAATTAAAACCTCTGTTTTTTCAGAATTTAGCAGTAGGAAATTACTCGTCATCCAGTTTTTTATATCAACTAAGCGTTCCGTTAGTTTTGCGAATTGGTATGTTTTGTCGGGCCCCGAAGAAATAAAGAGCTGAGTATCATCAGCATAACAGTGAAAGCTAACACCATGTTTCTTGATATCTCCCAAGGGTAACATGTAAAGCATGAAAAGCAACAGTCCTAGTACTGAGCCTTGTGGGTACTCCACTTGTGATCGATAAGATACCTCGTCATTCACTGATATGAATTGATGACGGTCAGAAAGGTAAGATTTGAACCATGACAATGCAATTCCACTAATGCCAACATAATTTTGTAGTCTACTCAAAAGAATGTTGTGGTCGATAGTGTCAAACGCAGCGCTGAGATCCAGTAGCACTAATAGAGAAATACAACCATGATTGGTTTAAAAAAAAAAAAAAAAACTTCTGTTGTAACTCTGATGATGAGAGCAGTTTTAGTACTATGGTCTAAATCCTGACTGGAAATCCTCACAGATACCATTTCTCTCTAAGAAGGAACATAGCTGAGAGGATACTGCCTTTTCTAGTGTTTTTGACAGAAAAGGGAGATTTGAGATCGGTCTGTAATTATTTAATTTTCGCTAATTTAGCCACTGTATTGAATAAATGCCTAGGGTTTTGTTTGTTTTCTTCTAAGAGAGACGAAAAATAAGCAGATCTAGCAGTTTTTAGAGCTTTTCTATAAGTAGAAGTACTTTCCCGCCATGCAATACGAAAATACCTCTAGTTTTGTTTTCTTCCAGCTGCGCTCCATTCTCCGGGCTGCTTTCTTTAAGGTGCGAGTGTGCTCGTTATACCACGTTGTCGGTCTGTTTTCCTTAATCTTCTTTAAGTGTAAAGGAGCAACCGAATCTGAAGTGCTAGAAAAGAGAGAGTTTATAGTTTCTGTTACAACATCAAGTTTTTCTGAGCTATTGGATTTTCTGAGGAATTGAGACAAGTCAGGAAGGTTATTTACAAAGCAGTCTTTTGTTGTAGAAGTGATGGTTCTACGATATTTGTAACAAGGAGTTGAATTTGCAGCTTTAGCTATATGGAGTATACACGAGACTAGATAATGATTCGAGATATCATCACTCTGCTGCAGAATTTCAATGCCATTAATAT